ATTGACCCAGGGATGGTGAGTGGCGCGCGAAAGAAGGAAGAACCATGAGAAACGGCCCAGAACCCGAGAAATGGGACCCCTTCCTTGCCCGTTGATTTGAGCATTGATGCGACTCTCATCGCTGTGCCCTCTTCAACACTACGCTCTCTCAGCTATCTAATCACTCGCCACGTATTGAACTACGGCGAGTGATCAGATGATCGGTGGGCGGAGATCGCCGGACCCGCCAGCTTTGAGGCATGATAGGTCGCCGAGGTCAAATTTTTCCATGCGAATTGCGCGTCAGTTCGCACCCTCAGGAGGTCCGTGGGTCCCTCAACTAGGTCAGTTTCCCTTTCTTCGACCTTCATTCTAATCGTGAATTCCTCCTTTAATATCACTATCAGAGCGCAATAGTCGCGCCACTTTTGAAGTTGAACGGCCCGTTAAGTTTTCGAAACTTGTACCTTGTAATCGATATCATTTATTTGACCACAAACAGGAGCTGGGAAGATGTCAACTCTGACGCACGGATTTCCCTCGACCGTGTCGCAGTCTGAAAATAAGATTGCTTACTTTAGAACACATTGAGTTTCACGCAAATCGGGGACAAGTAGTTGATATTAGCTAGCATAAGAATGAGGTCAGGTAGGGTGCAAATTGAAGCAGCAAAACCTAAAACAAAATGTGCAAAAATTTCGCGCAGAACGCTACACTGGTTTCTGAGGTCATTTGTTCCGGATTCTTTCGGGAACAAGGGGGTGAGGTGGCTGCAAATTCTGCACTACGTGTAGTGAAATGTCCCTCAGAACTGGTGGAAGGAGACATGCTGACTAAATTACAATATTGCATCCACTTGGATTTACCACTTTGAGGAGGCCAGGGTAACGTACGGTACCACTTCTTGTAGGCCGCGTAGGAGGGTGTGGTACCCTCCAGTAGCCCCATACCCTGTTATTCAGTGTTCAAGCTATGTTCCATTGTTTACGTATATTTTGCATGAAGATCTTGCTCGAATGTAACCGTGGATAATGTGGTCCAGAAATTAGATGAATAGCCCTGTGAGCACAGGTGTTCTAGCTAATTTTCTGCTTTCGCGCCTATCTCACCAGAATAACCTCAGAAAATCTTTGCTATGAAGTGAAAATCAGATCTTTTGAGAGATGTGTGCTTTATCCTCTCTAAAAACCATAACTTCTTTCAAACACGATCCTATGCGAAGCGGTAAAAAATTTCTAGAAACTCAGATAACTCTCTAAAATTGTAGGTTGGGAGAGGCTGTGTCCTTCAAAATTCCATTCTCCACTGTTAAGCCTTTGTGATTTTCGATGTCTATCGCAGGTTCGCTGCACTTATTACTCACTCCCTTCCGTCGACTGAACCATCCTTTCCACCATCGAACTTCGCACAAGGTACGGTTAGGCTGCTTTCATAGTCTGCGCCATCGTGGATGCCGTCCGCGACGGCGCAGACTATGAAAGCAGCCACATCCCTGATTGGACCGTGCGCGTGGTAAAAGGCGCTCCTTGTTCCTTTCGCGCCGCTCTCTGAATTTTCAAAAAAAAATTAAAATGAGTGAATTGTTCGTTACGTACTGATGGTCAGCGTCTGTAAGTCGGGTGAAGGCGGTGTGCGAATCTCCGTCTCTGTGGCACATTTTCTACTCGAGATGCTCTGCGCATAGTAGACAAATCGACATTTCCGATACATCATGTCCGAACCCACACGACCCACCAGCGTATTCGGGAGCGATCCCTTTATCTGAAACATTCTTTGACTAGGCTCATTAATGATCACCAGTCAATTGTACCAATCCCTGAAAACCTACGAATTCTGGAAGCGGCACTCCTTGAGTGAGGTCTGGCTCAGCGCATGTGATCAAATGAAACATTGGCATTACATCCAGATCTTGCGTTCCCAGTGGCCATGCTGAAGTAGAAGGTGGACGTATAAGCGTAGAACTTAATTTTAAAAAACAGTGATCGACGCACCTCCTGGCTCATATTTGAACGTAATTTCGACAGTACCATTCGCCGAATAGAAATCGCTTTTGAGAGGCGTGTTCTGGAACATTTGACCTTATATTAGAGTGGCACAAGAGCCCTCGCGTTGAGGCTCGAAGAATGTGAATGGTGTCAACCCAAGTTCTTGCCCGGTCAAGGGCACGGAGAAAATTTCTGCACGGCTTTCCATCATACGTGCTAGCACCTTGACACACTATGCCATGTCAAAATATGTTTGAAAAGGCTGTTTTCCGATATTCCCCTGTAACTGAAAATTCCCCTTTGCTATGTGAGCCCATGCAAAAAAAAAGAAAAAAAACCGGGATGCGATCGCGGATAGTCCACAATTTCCAGCGAAGGAGCTCATGTGTGGTTGAAAAGAACTCCAGCATAACTTTTATAAATGGTTGTGCCTAATGTTTACGCGTAATTTGTCAGCTGGGGAGGCCAAATCATGGGCTTCGGTATTATGATATCGCGCCTATATCGGCGCACCTTGAGAGGAGAGCGGGCCGCGGTCGCAGTGGCCGAACTGCCAAGGACTCCATGTGACTGCGTGATAAAATTCTGCCAGTCTACGAGTGGCTTCCTTTTTCAATGACCTCCTTTAATTCTGTGTCATTTGTTTCCACCAGATTCGCTTTTGACTAATTTAGCCTTTATAGAGCAGAATGTGCATTGACAAGATCGCGCTATATGTGAGCAGGGATGCGCACGTACGGCCGCTCCCCCCTTCACACTTCAATTTAATAACTTTATAATAACATTGAACTCTCTTGCCTTTGGCCCGCTCCAACGTTTTCCCTTCTCCCCACCCCCATGCCCTCCCAACTGGAACTCCGAAATGCGCCAAGCTGGATAAGGTAATGCAACAAATAAAAACAACAACTGCAGCGCTACTCTCTCATTGCCAGATCACTCCACTGTTCTCAAGTATACAGCTTACGCTCCACTTTTCCAGAAATATCACTAGTTGAGAATCACTGCCGTGTCTGACGTTAGTTTAGCTCAACTGATTCCTTTCAGTTCTTCGAACACTCTTTCTTGAATAACTTTCAGTGCTTTGAGTGTAAAAAACGATAACTTATAATAGCTCTGGGATTAGTCCATTAGGATCCAAGATGACCTGCCTCCGACGTCCGGATGGAACAGTTACTGCATCCCGAAGGGCAATGGAGAAAGTCATCCACGACTTCTACTCGGATCTCTTCGATAGCCATGTCCATCTGCCTACTTATCAACTGCAAGAGGATGGATACGTCGTCCCCTCAGTTCTCTCTTCCGAAGTCCGACACGCCATCAAGTCGGTGAAGAATCGTACAGCACCCGGTCTCGACAGGGTTAAACCGGAACATCTGAAGAATGCACCGCCAGTTATCATCAAAACTCTGGCTCGACTCTTCACGCGCTACCTGTCGGAATGGTACCCACTCCGTGGAAAACCAGCAGGACCGTGTTGCTGTACAAGAAGGGAGACTTGGACGACATTGGCAACTATCGCCCAATCTGCCTGCTGTCTGTAATCTACAAGCTATTCACTCGAGTCATCCTTAACAAGGATCGGCAGAATACTG